AGTTCATTTTGAATTGGGATTTCTTAATTGTAAGACAAAGTCAGTGAAAGAGTTCACTCTCAGTATTTGTCACCAAAATCGAAATTTTTTTAGCATACCTTTCTTTCTTAGGTCTAAAACTACGCAAGACAGTTAGAACTCTATATAGTGTAGGAGTATGCAACGACTCCCTACAAAGAATTAATACTCAATATACTCGTAACAACCATTTTGCGTGTACAACTATATCGTTACATTTCACTACCAAGACCAATATTCAAGACGACCCATTTTTTTCAGCTGCACTTATTCCAGCTTTCTATTTTAACCTCTCTAGGTTTTTCAATCTGCATTGATGGTCTTCCAATACGGGTGCTTACTCTGATGCTCTTAAGAGGTGTAGAATATCGGATAAATAACCAACATATAAGGGTTGTGTTACTCCTATCAACAAGCTTTTAAGATGGAATCACAAATAGTATGATACCCAAGCCCAAAAAATTCAAACGGGCAATTCTCGATGAAATAAATAATTAGTAACAAGCACTTGAGGTAGAAATCACGCCTAAGACTGAGTTTAAGATAAAGCCACAAGCCCGGTTTTTCGTGAGCAACGTGAATGGCTTGCAAGATGAGTTTACATAATTGGTTTTAAGTTCACGAGGCCGATTTCACGAACAAAGTGAGATACAATACATTACAATTAGACCAGAAGCTTCAAAAATTCATGATGATTGATGATGACAAGTGTTGTTACATTGTTTAAAATGGAGAGCGTGATGAGTTTATATTTCAACAATGCAATCACTTGGCCTCTTCTTTGGGTGTATGGACTGTGTACAACTGTCAAATTTCACGGATTATGACATTGCACGCCGATATGCCAAATATGTGCAAATCCTTTGGATTTCATTATGATGAAAAGAGAGTGCTTGTTTGCAGATTGGCAAAAATACACAACGCCCCTTTTACTTGTTTGTATACTTGTGTTGTACAAAAATGTTAACAATGTAAAAGTGGAAGGTATGGGTGGTGGGATAGGTATATAGGTCAAAAACCTTAATTCTATACTATAGAGAGCGATAAAATCGTAGAAAGAACATAGAAATAAAAGAAAACTCAAGATTTGTAGAGGTTCACATCAATATAACACTATGCCTTAATTCGGCACTGCAGTAATTGACTATGACGTAAAGAAGTTTATAATATAAAATTTGTCGCAAATCTCATTTTCTCTAACCTCAATCTCTTCTATGATGATAATAAATTTAAAATTCTAACTCCGGCTTCTTGTCCACCTTCCAATTTCATGACAACCTTATCACGAAGATCGATTAGTGTACGAACTCCACATAACGACATCAAGACCTTGTTTGTCTTCCATTTTCTATACCACACATTTTTTTAATAAAATAATTTTGTACGTGAACTCATAATTTTTTCTTTTTATGTTTTACGTCACATTCTCAAAACAATGCACTTTTTACAAAATTTAATAAAGAAAAATATCTACCAAACGGGCCAATTAAGCACCATTAGACTATAGGGGTGGACGTAGGGTGATACATATGTAAATTGTAACATGTGAAATGCAATGTGGTCTGCAAAATTTCTTTTACTTTTGAAGTGTACTGTGTTTTATTTTCTGGTTTTGTTGAATTATACATCACTTGAGACTAGGGATTGGACTTGTCATGAGGAAGGTAAACGCTTGACAGACAAGAGGCTAGGAGTATCCATGGGTACACTTTGGCTGATATCGAAAGGTCTTGCTACACTAACTTAGGGGATAACATGGATAACTTAGGGGATAACATGGAGGATGAATGAACACACGCATGGAGTGTCGACATTTTTTAATTCACGCGGGACCCATGCGTAAAATTTGAGGGTCGGTCACCTCCTCTGTAAGCAATTCGCTCACTTCAGCTTTATCTAATTTCGAATGATTTGGTGTGTTAAATTGAACGTGAATTTGACAAAAAAAAGAGTAATGAGTCAGGTGCACAAAGTTTCTTTCATCTCGATAGCTTTTCATTGTTAAAAAATGTAGAACAATAATTTCTAGACAAACTTGAAACTCAGTTTTCTTTTATCTTGATGTGGAAATTAAGGAGTATCAATTAATTTGACATATTAAATATAGGGATATGATTTTCATATTTGATTACAAATCAATGATTGTTATATATATATATATATATATATAGGGAAATGCTCTTCTGCTAGAAAGAGGTCGACAGAAGGCTTCACACCCCTCTCACAACCATTGGGCCCCGCTTGAATAAACAATTGGGAAGAAGAAGTGGCCCCCACCCGAGTTGTGAGTGTAGGTAAGGGCTTCTGGCAAATTTTTTCTGGCTCTCTAGCATGCTCCATATATATATTTTCTCCGTGTGTGTGTGGGGCCCAATTTCGACCTTTACTATTGGGCCGAATAGTTCAATGCTAAAGTTTTATGGGCTTGCAAAGTGATCTCATTGCCTATTGAAGCCCATGCAAACTCTTACTGCAACTCAATGACTCGTTACAATTGTGACCCAATTTCAAAATGAAGTGAATGAAAAAGTACTTAAAAAATGTGGAAATTACATCTTTACCTACTTTTCAAAATCAATTTTCTAAAATCATAGTGAAGGTTTAAATGTACAAAAATCAGATATTTTAAATATTTAATATTATAATACAAATTTAATTAACTCTAATTCATTTTCATTTCCCACCCTTCCTCTCACCGGCTCTCCCCACTCATCCTCTCTCCTTTCATCGATTCAAGCAGCCGACGATGGAGTTGCTCCGGTCGACACCACACCACAGCGCCTGTCGTCGCAAGACAAGTAGTGGGTGGTCGGAATGGTGCGGCTCACTGAATTGATTATTTTGTTGCCGATGAATGGTATGCTACGAGGAGAGGACCGACGCTGCTCCTTCACCTATCTCATCTTCTGTCTTGCTACATGAAGGAAATCGGCGCCGCGACTGCAAGGGCACAGCTGAGCGTTCGTCGCTCACTTGCAGTGTATTGAGGTCGCGGTGGTGTTGGGGATTTTGGGGATTTTTTAGTAGTGTTGTGGTGTGGCAGCGGCGGCGACGCTAAGTTTGGGAATTCTTTTTGTTGTTGTAGTGTGGTGTAGAGATGGAAATTGTGATGGTGCTGTGGCCAAAATCTGCAGCTCCGCGATGGTAGTGGTGTGCAGGCTGCGATGACACTAAGTTTGGGGATTTTTTTTGTTATTGTGGTGTGGTGTAGAGATGGAAATGGTGATGGTGCTGTGGCCGGAATCAACAGCTTCGCGATCTGGTGGGTTTTTAGGTATGCTTTCAATTGGTAGATAGGGGCTGTAATGGTGGTGGTGGTGTTTGGGTGGCAGTGACTTTGTTGGATCCGACGACGAAGGTTACGTTGGATATGGTAGTGGTTGTGGTTTTGTTGGTGGCGACGGTGTTGGATATTGTGGGTGGTGAGATGGTGGCGATGTTTATGGTGATATGTTTGTGGCGATGGGTCCATTGAAGTGATGGTGGATATGGCGCGAGGATGTGTTGATTTGAGGTGGTGATGTTGCCGTTGAGAGGTAGCAGTGGTGGTAGTTATGGCAGCAATGACGGTGGCGATGGTGATACTGCAAGAAGTGGCTAGGTGGTGGTCACAAGTGTTGTGGGGTGTTTGTGACCAGGGGCGGACCCAGACCATTTAAACTGTGGGGTCAAAATTTTTTTTTCGAACAACGTATCATGAAAAAAAAGGAAAAATCGATTGTTTGCTGTTCATGTTCGATATGGACCATGTGATATGGATATAGATTTAGAATTTGGACTTTTTAGGGCAGAAAATTGAATTTTCAGCACAAAAAAAACAGAAAATTAAGTTTCAGCACAAAAAAAAAAAAAAAAAAAAAAAAAAAAAAAAAAAAGCCAAAAAAAAGGGGGGGA